ACGTAAAACGTCTGTGTAATACAAAACCACACAGTCGAGGGTACTTTCCTCAAGTGCTCTACTTCATCACCAAATATATCATGAAGTGTTGTTTTTGGTACGTTTGTGTGTCTGTGTGTCTGGCTTATGATCTTTGTCTATGCAAAATAATATGCCTAGAAGGGCTATGCTAGAGTCTGTCATCCCTGATAGCCTTGTTAGAGTACTACGTAAACCCTAGCAACTCAAACATGGTTAAAACAAATTGGGTCAAAAATCCTGGCGTCCCTAGTTGTTTACTCGCACATCTGGTTTGATACCTGTGTTGCTACACAGGTTTTGAATGCATGTTAGTAGCAAACTACTAGTATTTGTACCTGCTTGCTAGCTTTTTATGCTACAAATCTAGTATTCGACACAACATCCCCCTATACACTGGGGATTTGTATCCGGTATATTCGGCTAACGGTAACTGCTAGCTGTACACCGCTGCCGCCTTCTCTTCAAACCACTCGACCTGATTTCCTACCAACTTGACCTACATGTCAAGCCACACGCTTCTGTAGTACAACTACACCTGACCTGGACTACTATACATCCTACCTACCTGTACAACTACATCTGAAGTGCACCTACTGTCCAACACAAAACAACCATGGCTCAAATATTACCCAAAACGTGACTGGCACGTACCAAGCTTCTCCATGATCTGCTTGTAGTTGTCCGAGTTTTCTCCGTGCTTCCATTTCCCAGTGGACTTGTTCACGTCGAAAGGCATGTTGTGGGGAGGTTGTGAGAGATCGTGTGGAGGTTGTAGTCTAGTGGAGGTACGCTCAGGTGTGAGAAAAACGCTGGCTCGGCACCGCTTTAAGTAAAGGGCAGGTGACCGTGTGTACCTAGGGCCGCTTTAATTTAACATCATGGACATTGTCCTGGGGCTATACTCTCCAAGCAGAGGTTTTGGGTTTTGGCTTAATCTAGACGTGTTTTTAGGCTTTTTAATCGGGATTTCTTTTTTTTACACTGCAATATTTTTACGCCAACAAAAAGATAGCAGTGCAAAAATGAATGCCTATTAGAAAAATCCTAAAAACAGGCCAGGAATAAGCTAAAATCTCAAAACTCTGCTTGGAGAGTACTGGAGCTAGAGAACATTGTTGGGGTCAAACTTGTTGTTACATGGAGAACGTAACGTTATATACGTTAGATTTGTTTCTAGGTTAAGTTTATTTATTATTTATTTATTGTCAATTTGCACATAAAATTGTAACAGTATAAAATGAAATTATATCCAAGCAAATATATGCTGGAGAGCCCAAGAAACCTGAAGGTTTGTCTAGTGGACTCTCCCAAATCCTATTAATTTTACGATCTCTTATTTACATACATTTATTACATTTACATTTAACTTGCAATGTATTAAGGGACAAGCAAACAAATTAACTCAAAATAGGTACAAGATAATATAAAGTTAACACGGCGAATTAAATATCTAAACAATAAAGTAAGATAATCAAGAACATATCATATTGAACAAAAAAAAATTCAATTTACATGTGGAAAATAGTATTTAAACACTAACGACCAGGTACTGGAAATAGTGCATATGGTAATTAAATTTATTCATTGATACTTTTTTTTACATACATATTTGGTGTATTTGAATTAAACTGGCCTCAAACGTCAACACATCTCATGGCTCCAAATATGGACATGCGTTAGGACGCTAAATATGGACATCGGTTCAGAACTTGAAATACCAAATATGGGCATTCGCTCACTAGGTCGAATGACTCATTGAAGAACAAACATTATATTGACTAATGTGGTGTTTAATCGTCTTTTATTCTCTTTATTCTAGGTGCTTAAACATGCCGTCCGGAGCTTAGTTACTCCGTGTAAGGGTTGTTGACTTTATTAAGGCCTTGGACAAAAGACTGGTAATCATTTACTCAATGTGTCTGCACGCCACTGGAGAGTATTCTTAGCGTACTATTAAACTAAGGCCACAGCAAGTAAATTTTATGGATAACATCCTCCGCCGACTCCGCAAATCTAATGCGATAGGGCGAAAAAAACATATCGCATGCGGGCCAAAAAACAAGATTCCTACATTTTCAAATATTGACATCATAAACTCAAAATCAAATTTTTGTTCAACAAGAAACGATACCTAGAAACACAAGGATGTGTTATGTCAAAATATTTTCAAATTTTGACATAATTAACCTCGTTAAACAAGAAATGATCCCTAATTATATTGTGCTAAGTTTACTGCCAACTATTACTACTACAACATTATTTGTCACTAAAAAATAAAAGTTTTTAATCATTGTACAAATGATTTTGAATCAGTGAACATCACATATAAAAGGAATGATATACTTCAATGTATAAAAGTAAGAAACAAAACAATAAATCAGAGCCTTGTCTTGTCTCCGATCCTCATAGTTATCTGCCATCCACCTTCCGGCATGGCAACAGACATCTTTGCCCATTTTCCGCATGTTGACCACTGTCAGAAGGCAACAAAATTTCTTTTTTATTTCCAACATCAGGCAAAACTTAATGCTCGCGCTAATGTCATCCATAGAATTTACTTGCTGTGGCCTAAGCGTAATATTCACGCCGTCTGGATCCCTGAGACTACCAGACCATAACAAAGCTTAACAATGGAACACTGTGTAACAGGCACCAGACTCAGGTTTCACGCCTTTGTTTAGTACAACTGTACGTTGTAGAGACATCAAAGTCATTGACAGTCGGCGTCGGCCAAGTTAGAAAGGGGGCGTGGTGGGCCTTAAGGGGGTGTGTGGAAGGTAGAATAGGGGTGTGGTGGGTTGAAGTGAGTGGAACGTAAAATGTGAGTGTATGGAAAGTAAAATGTGAGTGTATGGAACGTAAAATGTGAGTGTATGGAACGTAAAATATAAGTGTGTCAAAGAGTATGAGTGAGTGTAACGTAAAATGTGAGTGTGTGAAAGAGTATGAGTGAGTGTGTGAAAGAGTATGAGTGAGTGTAACGTAAAATGTGAGTGTGTGAAAGAGTATGAGTGAGTGTAACGTAAAATGTGAGTGTGTGAAAGAGTATGAGTGAGTGTAACGTAAAATGTGAGTGTGTGAAAGAGTATGAGTGAGTGTAACGTAAAATGTGAGTGTGTGAAAGAGTATGAGTGAGTGCAACGTAAAATGTGAGTGTGTGAAAGAGTATGAGTGAGTGTAATGTAAAATATACGTATGTGAAAGAGTATGAGTGAGTGTAACGTAAAATGTGAGTGTGTGAAAGAGTATGAGTGAGTGTAACGTAAAATATACGTGTGTGGAAGAGTATGAGTGAGTGTAACGTAAAATATACGTGTGTGGAAGAGTATGAGTGAGTGTAATGTAAAATGTGAGTGTGTGAAAGAGTATGAGTGAGTGTAACGTAAAATGTGAGTGTGTGAAAGAGTATGAGTGAGTGTAACGTAAAATTTGAATGTGTGAAAGAGTATGAGTGAGTGTAACGTAAAATGTGAGTGTGTGAAAGAGTATGAGTGAGTGTAACGTAAAATGTGTGTGTGAAAGAGTATGAGTGAGTGTAACGTGAAATGTGTGTGTGGAAGTGTATGAGTGAGTGTAACGTAAAATGTGAGTGTGTGGAAGAGTATGAGTGAGTGTAATGTAAAATGTGAGTGTGTGAAAGAGTATGAGTGAGTGTAACGTAAAATGTGAGTGTGTGGAAGATAGATGTGTGTGTGGACGGAGAAATAGGGGCATAGAAGCTCAGCCGTCTTGGTATTATTAGTAACGGTAGGCTTTACTATTTTGAAGCTGTAGAGTCTAGAGGGGTGTGCGGGACACTTTTACCATAAAAACAAATTCAAATAAAATCAAATTGGCAAAAATTTGCTAAAAAATCCTTTAATACCACACAGCACACTAACGTTTGTGAATATCAATGACACACGAAAACCCAAGGACTTGTTAAGCTTCAAACAGCGTATTAAATCACATAAAACTAACCTAAAAGACATGACCACCATCTTAACCTAAATGTCAATTCATTAAAAAAAACGTTCATTAGGCTTATAATGCACTGTAATAAATTATTTTGTTTTCTTTGTTGACCTCTGACCTCTCCTATTTAATTTACGTTTTAATATAATGATTTAATATTTGGAAATATTAATTTACGTTGTTATTTTGTATTTTCCATATACCATTTGTACAAGTTTTGCTATTAATATTTTATTTGATTATGATGTATTGAAAGGAACCCGAGGAAGAATAGTGTCAAAACACTGATGTGGATCCGAATAAAACAAACAAACAAACAAACAAACAAACGACAACATGACATTGTTGTACATTGTACAAAGAAAAATCCAGCAGCTAAATCACAACTCTTCAAACATTTGCCGCCGCAGATTCGGAGTGGCAGTGACGTCATAGAGCACTAACACCGGATGTACTCTACCCACCCCTCCAGATCACCTGCTTTCATTTCCTGAAATAAAAACAAGAAAGAAATAGATGAACATCGCTAAAACTGTTTATATTATAAGAAGAAAACTGCGCGTAGGACTTGGGGATTGCTGTCCACTGTGTAGGTAGCAGCTATTTACCTTTTTATCAAAAACCTATTTTAGCTTCCGATATTCTTTTGTCCTCTATATTTGTGGAAAGGACGAAAGAGAATCGGCGGCTAGAATAGATTTGATAACAAGGCTAGCAGCAACGGTGAGCGGGGCGCTCTTTAGGCTAGTTTAGGTAGTTCATTATCCGTTTTTTTATTCCAGCTATGCATTTTGAACTCAGCGTCAATGAAGATACTTACGGTCATGATTTTGTTGTCGTCGACAAAGCGTCGTTTCTGTGACACAACGAGACCTTTCCCGTCAAAGTCAGGGTACACCGCAATCAGGTAGTCTCCCTCCATACTCCACACCGTCTGAAAGAAGGGGGAAGTAGGAACAACAGAATTTAATACCTTATTTCCGTCTATGTCGGATACACGCCACAGTCACGCATTCACACGCACTTGCATGCACACACACACACACACACGCACACACACACATACACACACACACACACACACACGCACACACGCACACACACGTATATAAGAACAGAATTATCATAGCTTTATTGCAAGTTCATGCCCGAAGGCTAATTGCGAACAGACATTGACGATGGATGTGTGTGGTACATACACAGACACAGATGCACACACATAAACACACACTCACATGAGGATGTTATTCGTAATGCCATCGATACATCATTCAATCACAACTTACCGCGATCGTGTTAGACATGGCGCCTGTCTCCTTCCCCTCCTGACCCAGTGTGTTGGAGTTCTCGATAGTTTTCCCCAGGAATCCCACCTTAGTCGTCAGAACGTTCCCAGAAAGCGTCGCGTCCATCGACAGTTCGCTTTCCATGAACTTCTGAATTCCCTCAGCGGGAACACCTGTAAAGATATGACAAGTGGGGTCGTGTGACGTAGCGGTAGCATGCACGGCTTAGAACTAAGAGGTACCGGGTTGGAACCCTACTTGTTACCGATATTGTGCCCTTGGGAAAGGCACTTTACACGACTTTTACACACTTTACTCAGATGAAAATGAGTACCTAGCTTCGGTTAAGGACGTCCCTCGGATAGGACGTTAAATGGAGGTCCCGTGCTTGGGGGAGAGCCACACCTCGAGCACGTTAAAGAACCCACCACACCTTTCAAAAAGAGTAGGGGCATGCCCCGGTGTGCGATGGTCCAAATATTACTATCTGATGATTCCCTACGGACTCCAGGAAGAATAGTGTGAAATTCACACTAATGGAGATCCTAAACAAACAAACAAACAAACAAAAATACATGTTCTGAACAAATTCTAAACCACTAAAATCCTTAACTGTAACTTTCAACAAGATTACGATTCGGACTTCCACGTCATTCATAGTCGTTTCATAATCCTTTGCCATTGTTTTCTCTTTCATTATTCGTACACACTGCTGTAAGTGTTTAGAATGGGGCGATGAAAACAAACGATAGGCTAAAGTAAAGAAAATCACTTGTCTAATATGCACTCCTTCACTTGTTTGAATTTCACTTAAGATAAGACTCCTATTACACGTCTAAGCTGGGCCCACATGTAACTCATTGTTGAACTAGTGGCAGGCTTATTGACATAGGCAATCCAAGCCTGGTATCCAGTCTTACGTGATTGGGGGTATTGGGGTGTTCAGGCAGGTTGTGTCTTCGGGGGCTCTAATAGCTTCCCCCGCCCAGTGCAACAGGCCGTCCCGGTAGGAGTTTTACGCTAATAAGAGACAGTATGCTTGGGGATTTGGTTTCGTGGAGGTCTAATCAATCTCTCGTGAAATACACACCGAGAAACCTATGTGAGGCGGGCGGGACAGAGCTCTTGCGAGGCCCCGACCACGATCAGACTGGATACCAGGCTACGGCGTGCCGGGCTATCGGGTGACCACGGAAGGTCTTGTTTTGAAAGGTCTTTAGTATTTAATCTTGTGGTAATGGATATCCACCCCGCCCCCCTTGTCTGTGGAAGCCAGCTGACCTAAGCTTTAAATAGAACAACTCTATTGTCCTATGGTCTGCACCTTAACGACTTTACAATGAACGAAAGACCTTTACTGCACGTTTATGCTCCTAAGTATAGGCCATGAATAAACAAGAGAGAATACAGTAAAATAAATACTAATGTGAACTATTATTTAAAGGTTTAACTTCTCACTTCTTGAGGCAGTTGTATAAGTATGAACATATGGAGCTAATGAAACATAGTTTGCCAAGTTTCATTTAAAAGGTGCCTTAAGAGCTTAAGTCTTAGGTGAAGTTTAAATAGATTTTTACATTCTTGAGACAACTTGTGACATTGCACATGTACATCTGCTGTGAAAAAATTATGTGGTATTGCAAGACTACGGTGACATCTTTGAGGCTCTGCAAAGACCATTTAAATAGGGTAAAGACGCAATATTATGTTCCTCGGAATGTTAAACTTCAGCTCGACTGCACAAGAAAAAAATCACTACCTCCAACCCCTCTCCACGATCAGTTGGTACAATCGTTTACTCAAAGAGATCTACCTCCCGTGAGGCTGTCACCTTTAGCCTACTTATATATCCACAAAGGGTGTCCGGTAGCCTATCATGACCTACCCCTACCAACAGGTCTAAAGCTAACAAGCGCTACTTGCTTGTCGTATGGTCTGATAAACGTAGCTGCACACTCAGAATAAGAAAAAATAATTTTAGTATTACGTGCACATGAATAAATGGGGAAGTTAAAAGCTAAAGGCTTGTATTTACAACGCATTTTGATATTGATATTCTAAAGTCACATACCAAGTTTCTCCATAATCTGTTGATAGTTGTCCGAACGGTTGCCTTGCTTCCACGTTCCGTTCCATTTTGCTAAGTCAAATGGCATCTTTGTTACAATCTGGTGATGTTCTGGTATAGAAGCAGATCTGGTCACTGAGTAGGTTCTGTACTCTTCGAATCGTAGTACCTGCCGCCACGTTATGAGCTATTCAAATTAGTCTTGAAATCGAAGCTAACGAAGCGTGTCACCCTGTGACCTTTTGACCTCCGTTGCTATGACGCCACCATTGGGCGATTAAATTTCATGACATTTGACCTACGCGCAATGCCCGATGGTCGGCATCTCAAAAAAAGATGGCGGAGAATCATACATCCTCCAAAACCTACTAATTATGACCAAAGGTTATGTCCATTTTGTCCAAACATGATTGAAAATGAGCACCATTTTATAATGGGTTGTACACTATACAATGATAAGTGCCTATTGCTGTTCACCTTTCTTCCCACTTGTTCAACCGATTTCAATACGTTCGATCCTATAGAAAAATTATTCGCCAAAAAAGGCAAACTTCAGAGTTTAACTCTAAAAGCGGGCGTTGATTCCCATAAGCCTATTTTTGTAAGACAAATACAAATTGGAAAAACGCAACGCAGTTATTTGAAAATGTTGTTGACCGTCAATTCAAACGGAAAGCGGCTCTAAGCCGTACTGATGTAAAAATACTATATATGTGATCTTCTGACATCTACAAAACGTCAAAACGATCGTTGAAGAGTAAGAACAAAGGGTCGATCATATCCTGTCATCTCTGTAGAGCTATTAGGCCCGGTTCTCAACATTAGAGGGATCAGATCTGAATGATTGAAGAGATTTTCTTGTCGCCTGGAGAGCCTTTTGCTCTTTTATGTTTACATCCGCAGAAGGAAACATATTGTTATATTTCAGTCCATACCATATGGTATGAATGAAATATATATAGAATACAACACGGGGTATTCCGTATCGCCCGAGGTATCGGCCCGACCGCGGGTCGGATCGCCCGACGGCCGCAGGCCGGAGGGCGATCCGACTCGCGGGAGGGCCGGGACCGAGGGCGATGCGGAATACACCGTGTTGTATTTTATTTATATCATACCCACCCAAGAAAACGCGCCTTTCAATGCAAGATGAGCCAAAAGTTGGTGCCCCTAAACCCTCAAATGCAACAACATCAGTTCCAACGTCCGGATTCTGTATTCGAATTTTCGAAAGGGGCGCACGCGGTTAGGACGAAACGCGTTCGAATCGTTTTATGGAAGCCATGGAAGCGTTCGATAACGGGTTCCGGACCGGGCCGTACCGTAACGTACGGCCCGGTCCGGAACCCGTTATCGAACGTTATCGCGGCCCGGGTATGATATAAATTGTGTTCTCTCATGTTTCTGCTTCTTCTCCTGCCATTCCGTATAAATGGATTCAACTCCGCCATCATTCAGCCAAATGACTTGAAATTTAACATGGAGGTAGAGTGGGCCGATATCCCAGACGTTTTTTTTTTTTCATTTTTTTGATACATGCATTTGAAAAATTTTTATGAAGGTTTTTTGGGGCATTTTTCGCCAAAAAATGGATTTTTGGATCCTGAGCCCTGGTTTTACAACCAAATGATCTGAAATTCGGTATAAGGGTACCTTGAACATGTGTCTACAGAATAGCAGTCACATATTTGGCATACACCACTTCCAAATGACTCATTTGGGGGACTTAAATGGCTATTTTCAGCAAAAAAAGGGCCAAAAGTGCTGTACCCGTTCCATGTTCTATCTAAAGAATGGCCGGTTCCATCCATGGAACACGTGTTCCATTGCGGGTTACCTAGGGTCACATTGCACGTAAGTCGTGCGTAATGACCCACACATTCAATTTTATGTGCCTTAGACCTTCAAAATGTATCAAATCTCATCATTGTTAGAATTTGCATACCTGTAATGAGATTAGTAAAGCTTTCGAGATTCAATGTGCTTGTTCTTACATCTTTGTTCTCTATTACATAGCTACTATATAATTCATTTATTTGAGAATCTTTGCCAGTTTTACACTGGGGTAAGTTTGAAATAGTCCACCTTTGCGTGGGAGGGAGATGGACTGAATATGCTGTATTTGCTCCCAAGCAAATGTCGGCCTCTCTAGTTTTTGCTCAGTTTCTTCTTCTTCTTCCTTTTCTTCTTTTCCAAACAAATAAGGTCAATGACCAGGACCAGACGTCTGTCACCATGGTAACTGGTGTTGGGTTACATGATGTTGCCATGCAGAACTGAGTTCAAGAGGGGCTGCATGGTCATGGTAAATATATGAGTATATTTGAGTAAGAATTTGAAACAATTTGAAAGCAACAGATTGTAAAGCTGAGCCACGTGAAGGTAAACATGATGCATTTGCTTTCAAACGTTACCTGTCTAGTAACAGTGTTGTTTCCAGTTCTAAACTTATACTGTCTCTATGCAGCTGTAGCATACAAAACCTGATTTTCAGCACCAAGGACAGTACTTTGGCCGTGTTTATGTCAAGTCACCCAAACCGCGATTCGGGTAACTCACATTCCTCACACCTGGTCCACGTGCCACACATTCCTTTCAAACCATGTCCGATCACAATTCGCTTGAGCTACATTTATTGTTGTTTGATGAAAACACGCAAAGTGGCGTGTTATTAATGTCAGAGGTCAACGACCTGCTTGCTGATGCCCCCCTCCCAGCGTATCTCGGACGAATGCCGACGTGGTCCCGCCAGAGGCGGTGAAGCTTGCCCTTGAACGGACACATTATTTGACCATTACTACTCTTTAAGTTGCTGCTACGTAAAAGTTGGTATTGCATATAAATAAAGAAATATCACCCCGTAATCCATGACCAGGCGAAGTTACATTGAAATCACATTGCGTTCAGACGCAAATCGCGATGCGGGAAAACCGATTCTAAACCACCTCTAGAAGTGGCTTGGGATCGAGGCGCTTTCAGTGTGATTTGGAGCGATCGGATGGAGCCACTTGAAACCGGCTTCGGGGTAAACCACATGTAAAGCGCCTTGGGTGACTTCACATAAACACGGCCTTTGACCATATCTATAAAACGTGTCTGAGTAAGAATAAACAAAGCAGTGGCTTGTTAAGAGGAGCCATGTAAAGGTAAACATAAAGCATTTGCTTTGCAAATGTTACCTTTCTAGTTAACAATCAAAGTTGCCTCCTGCTGAAGATTGAATCCGTACGCTGGCTGCAAACTTCACCAAGCACCAAAGCAATCACGTTATCGCACTAGGGCACTAAGCCGGCATCTCCCCAAACGTGCATTTTCTCAGTCAGTGGATAATGCTGGGAAGAGGCAAACGAATTCAACGCCCACCCGGCTAGCAGAAAGTGTGGTTGTGAATCATGTTAAAGTCATCCAGTGCAGTTTTTACCTCCATGAATATTGTTTTTGGCGTCTCTCTCTCTCTCTCTCTCTCTCTCTCTCTATGTGTGTGTGTGTGTGGATTGTGATGACGTTTGGAATGCTGGTAGGTCTTAGGAAGCCAAAGGTCAAGGTCAAATATGGGCTGGCCTTGGTACTGCAGCAGAACATCCGGTTTTTGTATCTTTTTGCTAGGCAGGGAAAACAGATGTGCAAGCAGTGCGCCTGATTAATGAGGTTCTCCCTCTGGAATAGGCTACATGTACATATCTATTACAGCCTGATCTATTTCAGGCCAAAGGTTTGAAAACAAAAACCTGTGTTATTTTGTTCTGTACGGTAGTGTACTGTGTAAAAACATTTACAAAAACTCATATATTTCATGGAGGTATGGGATCTCTGAATTCTTGATAGGGCTTGGAAATCCGATTTTCGAAAGCCAATATTCTAGTCATTTATCTACATACTAAGTTGAAACCACACTATCCCAATGTATTTTGACCCTCATGGAGCAAAAATCCCCAAAATTCTGACGGAAGATTGTTACTGGAAGGGCCCTGGGCTGATTGTTATGGTACCACCCAGAAAATACAGGACTCATCTTGGGGCTTGTTTCTGCAGTTTCAAATGCCCAAAGTATGAAATGCTGATTTAAAAGTGCTAATGTATGATAGTTTATGTCAATATCATACAAATTGCCTTATTTAGTGTATTTCCACTTTTGCTGCCCTGAAATTGCATTGGATGCCTTTAATATATGCAATGTTTTTTTTACCTCCATGATATATGCCTATAGGCAGTTCCTATGTACGTTGGTAGTAAGCTAGAAAGATTGGCTCTTAAGTTAACTCTATTTCAGTATCAAAGGGTGAAGTAAGGACGATGTGCCCTCACTGATCCCAGACCGTCTAGTCTTTCGTCTCAGATTTTGATATACACCTCAAACTGTCTGCGCTCTCGCCAGACACGATAAAGTCTCAGCAGCAAAGTTCAATGATTTGTGTAATTGTATCCACACCCCTATCATTAAATCCGCATGACACTTACCCAAAGGACGGGTGAACTTGTAAGAGCCTCGGCACAACTGTTCTCGGTGATAAGTTACCGTGGTGGCGTACATCACCCCACGGCGACCATGGGGCGCGATCCCCGATGGAACCCATCACCCTTTCCCGCTACAAAGCGCTGAGCCAACGCACTTTGTCAAAGTCAAGGGATGATCTTGGCAGACGAACTTGACACTTGAGTCGTGCGGAGATAAGACGCTGCCGCTAGCTGTACAAATGGCTTGTACAAATCATTTAGGCCACACCAAGTAAATTTTATGGATGACGTCCGCGCGCGCATTGATTTTGGCCTGTTCCTAGAAAAAAAAGGAAATTCTGCTTCCTGTAACTATGACCAAAGAGTCACGACAGTGCCGCAAATCATCAGATAGTTGTGAAACCCGTAACGCGAAAACAGGACAGGACGACAACTGCTGTTCCACCTGATTTATTGCTGTTTTGATGATGAATAAAAGACTTCTTGCTTGTTACACTGTGTCACCTCATTCAATTTGTGTCCTAACATTTGCCGTCTCTTAGTATATTTCTAATCTAGGCATCTTGTTTTTTAGGGCCTTTCTTGTTTTTTTCGCCCTCTCGCATTAGATTTAGGGTCTCCAAAGGACGTCATCCATAAAATTTACTTGGTGTGGCCTTACACAAAACATTTGTTGTCAGAAGGTCACAAGGCCAGGGCTAGAAATACTGGGTGCA